TACTGTTAAAGACTGCTGTTGCTAACGTCAAAAATCAAGATGTAACCTGCCAAGCTAATATCTTCTTCGACGAGGGATCTCAGTTGTCCTACATTTCTACAGAATTAGCAGAAAAGTTACGTGTTGTACCAAGTTGCAAGAAAACATTGCAAGTCAACTCTTTTGGAGGTAAGACTCAAAAGAGTACATTCAATTTATGCACAATTGACATTGTTTCTGAGGACGGAGACATTGCAGTTGATGTAATAATAGAAGACGAAWTCATCAAACYAATTGATCGTTCTAATTGGTCGTCCTGCCTTAATCAACCACATTTACAGAATTTAAATTTGGCAGATGACTTGAGTCAAGTTAATTTTCATGTAGACATTTTAATTGGTTTGGATGCTGTATGGCAATTTCTAAAACCAGAAGTTATTAGTGGCTTTCCAACAGCTCAAGCATCTAGTCTAGGTTATGTGTTGTCAGGAAAGTTGTTTCCAAATCCAATTAGCAATGAGGTCACATATCAATGTTCATCTGTAAATCAACAAGGTCAAACCTCTATTGATRAATTTGATCAATCCAATGTTGAGAGTCCAACAATTACAGGTTACAGTGACATTAATGAACTTGTCTCAAAACTTATTCATATTGAATCATTTGATTTTCAAGAAGCTAGTGAAACCAACGAGGATAACGATTTCATCCAAAGATTTCAAAGTCAAATTGAGTACAGGGATGGAACWTATTTTGTACCATTACCATGGTTAGATAATCATTCACCTTTACCAAGTAACTTGCATATTGCATTAAGCAGGGTTGAACAGGTCAAGAAAAGATTGCTGAAGCTGAATCTTTTTGAAGCATWTTCCAAGGTAATCTCGGAACAAATTGACAAAGGKTATGTTGAACAAATTGAAGAGGACAATGAACAGTGGGACGAAGCAGSATCCCATTACCTAAGTCACTTCTTTGTTTTACGTCCAGATAATGAAACAACACCTTTACGTGTAGTGTTTGCTGCCAATGCAGGTCAAGTATCACTCAATGACTGTCTGTATACTGGACCTTGTTTGCTTAAATCTCTTCTCACAATCATTCATCGTTTTAGAGTTAATAAGTATGCTTTTGTAGCTGACATAGAGAAAGCATTTCTTAGGATCAAGCTTAAAGAAGAGCATCGGGACTTTGTGCGATTTCTTTGGTATGAGGATGGAGACCCAACCAAGCCACTTAAAGTCTACAGATACACGTCAGTCTTCTTTGGGGGTACTTGCTCACCTTTCATTCTCAATTCTACGATACTTCATCATCTGTCAAGGTATGACAATCATGTCAATCCTGATGTTGTCAAAGTTGCCAATGACATT